CAGGGAAGAGTGGGCTTTTAAAACGTGGTTGGCAAAGAGTCTAAGAAAAGGACAACTTTAAATCAAAAATCTCAGCCATCTGAAACTGTATAAAAGATGCTTAAACGTGTGGTGCATATAATATTTGTGTGTAAAAACAAAAGAAACACAAGAGATTTCAACAATGATGGATAATCCCATTGGAAAGGGGATTATCCAGGGTGCTTTTGATATCAACTGTTGATGACGATCATGAGAAGTAATGAAAAGTTCTCAAGATGAAAGACTTCCCAACTTAGGAATGATGGACGAAATATAAAAAAAATATTTCTTTTTGAAAGGCTTCTTAGTTAGGCCAAGAAATTTTTGGTACTATGTGTGTGCGTGTAACTGTACGGTTAAATTTTTTAAGAGATAAAGACACTTACTCTATAATATATATATATATATATTTTTATGTTTAACGTTGTTATTTTATAGATACAAGTATTTAAGCAAATGCTCTGTTTATGATAAACAGTATTAAATAACATTAAAGACATTAAAAAAAATGTCTTTAATAAATAAATTGTCGGACCTTGTCCATTTCTTAACATATGACGTCATTTTTTTACATTCGATACGCCAGAGAAGTTGTGAATGTACGAGATTCATGGAAGATTGGAGTTTATAAGCAGTAAATTCGACCTTGTCTACCGATTGGTTCTTTGTAGCCTAGAGGTAAAGGCACGTCAGCGTATATGACGGTTCCGTATAGGATGCAGGTTCGAATGAAAATTTCTCGGACATTCAGGCCGGTAAATGTTATTTAATACTGTTTATCATAAATAGAGCATTTGCTTAAATACTTGTATCTATAAAATAACAACGTTAAACATAAAAAAATGTCTTTAATAAATAAATTGTCGGGCCTTGTCCATTTCTTAACATATATATATCATGAGTAAGTGTCATTATCTCTTCTTTTTTTTTTTTTTTTTTATATATATATATATATATATATATATATATATATATATATATATATATATTGAAGCATTTATGGTTGAATAATTTAGACATATTACGCCTAGTTATTTTATTTTAATCCTCTCATATCCATGCACCTGTTTTTTTATGCTGTAATTAAACTGACTGAGGAAGACCCTGCAGCTGTTTTTATCATTTTTATTTTTTGAAAGTTTTTTCAATCTCACCCAATCTTCAGACGTAAATTGCTAAGACAAAGAATTAATACAACTGACGCTTGCGAACGCACGCGGTTAATTAAAAAAAAATACTCCTTTATGTAAGGGAGATAACTTATTACAAAATGTAATTACGTGTTTTGAAACATTCTGTTATAATTGTAGTTTTTTCAACAATTACATTTTAGATATTTTAAAATCTTTGAAAACATTTGAGAATTTTGTTGCTATATTCATAATTAATTTTATTTAGTGTTAGTTGTATTTTTTAATATAAAAAGGGCTTCTAGAATTTGAAGACTTTGTTTTGTTTTTTTTTTCCTGGTGGAGTATACTAGTATAGTCAATTAATATGTCTCTAAATCGTGAATGTGGACAAGAATGTTCGTTTAAATGTTGTGCAATCGAACTAGTATCCGACATATAAAGATTAAAATAAAAATAAATAAACGTAACATGTTTAAATTATTCAACCATACATATTAGGATTTAGATATCCTGTCTAAATATATTGTATTTTTGTGGGGATATTATTATTATTATTATTATTATTATTATTATTATTATTATAAATAAAAATGAAATACAAAATAATAATGATAATGAAAATTAGAAATAAAATAAAACAATAGCATAAAAACGTTGTATAAAATTGAATTAAATACTAATGAAAAATAATAAAAATACTCCCAGCATGCAACAAAAACTGTTACTGTCAGAATTTGAAATTTGGTAAGACAAATCTATTTGGAAAGTTTCCTCTACACAATTTTTCGATTCTCCTTCGTAAGAAAGTTTCACTTAGATTTTTTCCCGTGTGAATGCTTTCCTGAACACTACAATCTTAATCTCTTCAAGGGTCAAACGATATCTATTTTCATTATATTCTCTTTCTATCGCTGCTGGTGTTCCTAAGTCCATCCTGACTCAGGGTGGTAGCACCTGTTAGGGTCCCAGCTATGGGCAAATAGTTAACCCCGAAACTGGGGTCAAAGCACTGTGAAAGTGCAAAAATAGGTTTTAATACAAGCAATGAATTTTTTGAGGAAAAATTATTACCAGCAATAAATGTTTGTAAATGTTTATTACCAGCAATGCATTTTTGGAAAAAAATAATACCAGCAATAAAAATCTTGTCGGCATTGAGGTTGATAGACCGTAAAAATCACAGGTAGAATTAGTCAGTCAGTTATGTGCCATGCTTGATACACGCTTAGACGATCATGTATCTTTCTATATGTGGCAGATTTTTCCCGTAGTAGGTTGCCATTTTTTTTCTGCGGTTGATCAGTTGGATTGCCAAGGCTATAGAATCCGGTATTCTATATCCCTTGCTATTTATCCATAGCGGAGAAGAAGAGGTTTCATAACTTTCCCAAGGATAAGTGAATGTAATGGATTCGACTGGAATTCGAACTCGGCTCTCCGATTGCTCAGTCTGATATCCATTACTCCAAGATGCACTTACTTATTACACTTACTATTACTAATAACTTATACGTGCATCTAATATCTTTCCGTACGTGTCATCACTAAATTATATTTGCGTACATCTTTGTTTACATATAAATATTTAGAATCCTACGCACAGTGGATATTAGAAAGCGTGGGACAGAAGACTCTTTCGCAATATCCACCTACTTTCGATAAGTCCTGAACTAAGACCAACAGGGCACTTAACCATATACTTAATAACATGAGTAATTACAGTACTTGTGCCTTTAGGAGACAACCAGACGTGTTTCTATCTGAGTGTACATGTCAATATCGGTTTATATATGTGTCGTGTGAGGTTGGTTATACGGGTGAAAGCGTCAGTATTTGTCAGCCTCCTTAGCAACTTCCGGGTGGAGCGGAAGGTCAAGTGAAACATCCGGCACCTGTTTGAAAGCTCAAGCTTAACCGAGGCCTTGTCTTAGGAGTGTTTATATTGAGCCACTCTCTTTGTGATGAGTCGTTTGATGGCAATTGAAGAAAAGGAATTTATTAATGTTGTTACATTCAACAGAGATTAATTAATAGCCACTTTGTGCAAATGGAAAACCCTGAAGAGAATAGGCATTTAAACAAACTTATGAGGACAGATACATACAGAAATACATAGATAAATAGGTTGTTGGCTTGATTTGGGGATTTTTTGGAATGCTGAGTTCCAAATGAGTCCAAGCAGCAGTCATTTATACAATGATGACTAGGAGGTAGACTGCACAAGGAAAGAATGCCTCAAATATTCAGAAGCATTATTATTATTATTATTATTATTATTATTATTATTATTATCATCATCTTTAGCAGTAGTAGTAATAGTATTTCGTAAGCATTGTAAACAAAAATATTTAACAAATAAAATAAATAAAAAATTAAAGACAAACATTGTTGAATTTAACAAAACACGATGATAGATAGATAGATAGATAGATAGATAGATAGATAGATAGATAGAAGTCGCATATATTTCACAGGATAGCAATTCACTCATTACAGCAGCTACAAAAATAGATGCACCTTTCTTGTTTTGACCAATTAAAATGATTAAAAAAAACTCTTATTGACTGACAGGAGACGTAAGATTGATCTAATGGCCGCCAGTTCGTCTCACATGAACACACTCATTTCTTCTCGGTGGCTGCGTCAATGTGTGGATAGCAATAAAAGTTCATAGATCTGTCTTTCTACACTCAGCTAATTATGTTTTTCAATAAAGAGGCCGTAAGACATTAATTGAGCTTCTTGGCTCACAAATGTTGACGTTATTTTCGTATTTTCAGTCCCTTACTTACACCTACATATAGGTATATATTTGAGAATTTATCTTCAATTGTCGTAAATCGAAGACGAACCAATGTGATTATATCCAGCCTATGGGAGAGAAATGAGAGAAATGTGGATGATTTTATTCAGC